ACAAAATGAAACTCAAACTTTCCAGCAGAAACCTATGATTTTGATGACTCTCCTCATTTTTCACATTTCCTGGTAATGGCTTCGAATACGTTAGCTAGTAACTACTTATTTAGCATTAATCCACTATTCATTTATTTACACACCACACAAGATATCTCAACTGGAACATCTCAATGTTTGAATAAATCAGTGAAGTGGACTTCAGTTGCACACCAGAGCAAACAATGAAAGTTCAAAACATTGTTATGAAGACGGAGTGCAGAGAATACAGGCCATTGTTTGGTCAGAGTTCTCAAAGGACATTGATTGGACATTTGAATGTCAACTTCTGTTTAGGAACATGTGAAGTTGACAGGTAGCAGATTTTACACAAACGTGATGATGACAGAACAGCAAAGTCCAATAGATAGAGACACTGGAGGTTATCACAGGTTTTTTAACCTTGTTGACTGATTGGCTGTTAAGCTGTGTGAAACAGATATGCTTTTGGTTGTAAACACTTATGTATACATGGATCGATAAGTAATGTAAATATTGTAATATAGATCAATATGATATTGCAAAGCATTTAAAAGAAGTTCACTTTGATTAACCTTTTAAGAATGATGTCTTTCTTTTTGATTATTTTTGAGCTTAAAGAACTTTGAAGAGTTATAATAAGGCAGTAAAGTTACAAGATACAAATCATTTTGTGTGTGTGTGTGTGTGTGTGTGTGTGTGCGTGCGTGTGTGTGAGTGTGTGCGTGTGTGTGTGTGTGTATGAATCAATATTTTTACACTTTCTATCCTCCCCTTCATGATTATACATTGATTGTGCATATATATATATATATATATATATATTCAAGAGCCTACAGGTAACTCCTGAGTTGTAAGAAATGGCTAATTCAAACCTTCTGTAATGTAATAATTTAAACCTATTTATCAAAGTTTCCTATCTTTAGTAATATATAGACTTCAACATCAGAACCAAAAGAAGAACATGACATCCGTTTTCAAACTAAAAAAATGGGTAAAGTTGTTTCCAATTTGAAAGGGGGATCAGATTAATCAGTGTTTTAGCAATGTCCTCTAAATGTGATTGCAAGGACTGAAAACAGTCAAATGTGACCTGGTGTTTTGCTGGATCTTGTTCTTGTGCATTGCCATCTGACACAGCTTTTGTTGTGTTTTATCTCACTTTTGCCGAGAATTCATATCATTCTGCAACTCTTATCAGCGAGCTTTGAGCTCCATTTTATGACATCATGAGTCGTCAAACCATTATCTGTAAATAAAAGAGATACATTTGAACTGTTGTGGAACACTAATCTGAGATTAAATAGACAAAAATTATTTCGCCTTAACATTAATATAATAGGGCAGATAAAAAATATTGGAAATGTATTGGGGTGTGAGAAAATACAGGAATTTATATCAGACAAATGCAAAGTGTTTTATGTTACTATATAGATTAAAGTGTAATTATACTTTCCATATTCGGTTCATTCAGACTATTTTCAGCCTTCTAACAGCTATCTTAAAATTGATGAATGAACGCCACCTCCAACTCAACCTTTTAAAAACTTAGCTCCTTGTCATCAGAGCCAGTGACTCTAAGCAACAACAGATCAATATCCAGCTTGACATATCCCAACTCTTGCCAACAAAATCTGCCCGGAATCTAGTTTTCATGATTGATGTCCAGCTATATTAAGGTTCACGTGGCCTCGATTGGCTGTTCATGTCGATTTGATGCACAATATCAGGAAGACCAGACCTTACCTGTCAGAGCATGCTACACAGCTCCTGGTACTGGCTCTTGTGATATCATCCAATAACTATTGCAACTCCTTTCTAGCGAGTCTTCCTGCATGCACAATCTAACCTTTGCAGATGATCTAAAACGCAGCAACACAACTGGTCTTCAACCTAACAGCATATCTCTCTCTGCTGTTAATATCTCTGGCTCCAAATTACTGCTCGCATCAAATATAAAACCCTGCTAGTCGCTTACAAAAAAGTAACAAAAATGGCTACTCCTTACCTGAACTCTCTCATCCAGGTGTACACTCCCTCCCGCCCATACTAGTCCATATACGCTCTGCCAATGAAATGCTCCTGGTCCAACCTTCACAACAGGGGCCCAAGTCTCACGCTAAACTGTTCTCCTCTGTTGCGCCCCGATGGTTGGACTGAATTACAAATCGCCATGAGATATCCAGAATCCGTTTGCACCTTTAAAAGGCTAAAGACCCATTTTATGAACACCTATGGACCTACTGATAGTAATGGGAATTATGATGATATAAACGATGACAATGACATTATTTAGGATGGTTCTGATGCTTATCAGAACTCCCACGAACAGCTGTGGAGGTTGTTGACGATGGTGACGATATATATTTACTTAAAAACATGCTTTTGCCTCTGTGCACTACCTGCTATCTGTGTTTAGTTATTTCCTCCTCTTTAGATACTGGCTTGTGTTTTACTTCTCTGATCTACATCGCTTTGGACAAAAGCGTCTGCTAAATGAATTGTAGAAATGAAAAAAAGCAGTAGCATTTAATATATAGCATTCTGTACAAATGAGTGAGTTATTTTACAGAAACTTGAACTATCAAACTATGTATTTGAAATAAAACAATGTTTTAAAAAATGTATAGGTAATAAGTATGTAATAAATCCAGGTTCCGGGTGATATTTCTTCAGGTATGATCTCCCCTCTCTAACGTCCTCTCTTTGTTTCTCCATGTGCTTGGAAAGTTATTTTTGCCCGGTACTAGAACCTGTTAGTAATGCAAACAAGATCTATGTCTGATAGGCCCAACCCTAAAAAGACTCTTGTTTAAAATACATCCTAAACCAACCTTGTAAGGCCACAAACTTTATTTAAAAAACAGTCATGAATCATTTAAAGAACATTATATTGATTATTAAATAAAATCGGGTTATAGACGACACTTCAGCTGGTGCGATCTCTTTTTCCAAGGATTAACATTGAAGATGTTAGTTCAGATGTTAGTTCAGGCCTCTTCTTGGGAAGAGGACCTAGAGGAGCTCTGCTTCCTATGTGGCTGCTGTGGGGAAAAGGCGACATCTAGTATTAATGTCTCCATTTGAATCCAAAGAGGATAGGAAATAAAGCCACACTATGGTCTGTCAAAATGATTTCATTGAAGATATAAGCTCATAAAACACCTTTGCCTCTGGAAAACTAAAGTTAATGAACGAAGCCTGATGTTTGGTCTGTTGATTAGTCAAAAATCATTTCAAGGTGTCACTGTAAGCCCTGTTTAACTGTGCTTTTCTGTAAGTAAACATATAATCAATTATTAAAATGAAAAACAGATCAAACCATAAATAAATAGTCATGGTTGCAGTCCTTTATACAATCAAAATGAGATCCACATTGGCTTAGCAGTGAGAGGAATAAGGCAACTCAAATATGTCTGAAAGTCAATAACCAAAGGATAAGCTTTGTAAGACTATATAAATATACCGTCCTTGGCATACTGGTCCAAGGGAAAGCAAATGTCAAGAAGCACCCAAAACATTGTGCTAGCAGTTAGTAGAGAAGAATCTGACACAATGCTAAGTAGGCTAGAATAAAAATAAATGCAAACTCATCCACCAGTTCCCTTTTCTTTTTTCGGTTTGGTTTGAATCCAGTCTTCCCCTACGCCTCTGTCTCATGCTATCTCTATGGTGACAGCTCATGGCGTTGCATTCTCCCTGCAGACGCGTCTCCCATAGCAATGAATACTTTGAGTAACAGCAAAGGAGGCAAGGTTGTCTGATCCAATAGAGTAATGGTTTGCTTTTATATTGATTATATGACAGGAGCCACTAAAGTAAGAATGCAAATCAACTGTGCCCATCACAAACAAACACATAGAAGGCCTAAAAGAGAGGGGGAGTGGTGTAGGGATAGACAAACTGATTACAGGACATACTGAGGGAAAGATAACCTTTAAAAGAAAACTTGTAATCTAATACCTTGCTGGGCTCCTTTGGGACTATTGTGTCAGAGAGGCTCCAGGGTGACTTGAATTCAATAAGATGCTAGAAATACTATGGTACAAGTGAGAAGGGATAGAACTTTTAGCTTTCACCTACTGAAAGCTAGCAAGTGATAAATAGTCACGTTTAAGCCTGCATAATAAGTAGCCTATAAAAACTTAAAAAGTTAGGCTTGCAAATTGAAAATATGGAATAAACCACTGGAAATCTAGGGAGGCCTATTTGAAAGCTAACATTATAGTCTTCATAGCCTACATACAACACTATTCAACAAAGAAAGTATTAAAGGACTGTGACAGAATAAATAGAGAAAAGTAATGAAATACAGTCTCATTAGTTACATTAGAAATCATATTGTTTATTAGAAAACAATCGCCTACGTCTCTAAAGGAGCCCTGAACATAACGTGTGGTATTAGCATTTCTGAGTGGCTAACATCATAACACTAGCACCACCTACTGGTTCAACGAAGTAATACACGCGAGACAAGCATTGTGTTTCAGTCATGTTGATCAGAACATTTAAGCCTCTTGGATGAACGTCCATTTGTGTCTACCTCGGTAACACTTCTCACAGAAGCTTTAAAGCGGAATTATTATCAAATTGTGATCCAAGTGAAATCCAGTAGGCCTAGTGGTAATAAAAAAAAGTTAACAAACGCTGATTTCTCTCCTTATTATAATGGTGTGTACAAATAAACATGTGCATACACTATTTATATCTGTAAGGCTTCATTAAATTGCCTTAATTGCCCAGAATGCCTGTTTACTTACCCTAATGTCTGTGTAATTTTCTACCCTTAATTTGAAGTTGAGTAAGGTGAAACAAACCCTCAAACTATCGCTATGTTGCAGTAGGCCAAGTCGTGCTTTTTGTTTCTCTGTTTGGGTTGGTTAGTTCAAATTTTACTCACTGCAGCGTGCGTGGCCTGAGAGACTGAACTCAGGGATAAACATTGACGTTCACGCCTGTGCGTCTTACGTCACGACGCACCATCAGCTGTTGACTGAATGAAGCTCCCTTCACCGCGACCTCTTTTGAGGGGGGCGCTGTGCTGCTTGTAGACTCGTACACTCTCCGAGTCTCCTGCCCTTGTTAAAGTTGTTATGCGCCCATGCTTTTCGTCGACCCGTCGGTAACGGAACATATGCTGCCATGAGTGCTTTGTGTCGCCTGATCCAGAGAGGACTGCGGAGCTCCTGTCGTTCAGTTCCCGGACTTAAGGATGCGTGTGGGGGGGCTCCCATCGTCCGAGCAGCCAGTTCATCCAGGTACCCTGCTAGCTCACCGGCTAACTGATGCCCTCTGTCAGCCTGAGCTGTACGCGTGGTGCAGAGTAGAAAATTATAGAAAACTGCTCCTTCCTTAAATCTCTTTGGTTACAATGCATGAAGGTGTTGTGTCTGTTATCCTGAAGATATCTACAGATTACACAGTTTAAATAAATTACATTTAGGCGTCCGGCTAGCAAGAGGTTTAAACTGCAGCTGAGCTTTTATCATCATTCTATCAATGACACAATAGAAGGATAAACCACATAGATAATATCCTACTATCTATAAATATACGTCTTTCAATGTATCATATTTATATAACTACATTTTTTTATTTATATCTGGTGTAGGCTATGCTATACTATGCTACGTACATAGTTACTGGTTTGACAGGTAAACCTTGCTATCATTAGTGCAATACGAAACTGCTGTAATTAAGCATACCTTCACGAATGTGCTACAAGCTAATACTAATGTTATCATGTCCTTATGCAGTGTTTCATTAATGTGCAATCGCATACAACTCGAACATTACAAAAAAACAATAAAATGAAAACATACTCTTCGATAAGGTAAACCAAATAAAGTCCCAAATTACCATAAAATGCTGCCAATAGCTTAAAAAATAAATAATAATCATATCCCCTGATATCCTGTTTAAATAGGGTACTTGCAAATACAATGTTTTCACTTTGAATCCAGGTAACTACTTTGCAGAATTGAAATTTTCCTGCTGCAGTAGTGACATCATTTCCAACACAGACATAACCAGGAAGAGTATAACAAATGTGCGTTTGTGTTGTTTGTTTTTTTCCTTCAGCCCAGTCAACCTGACCTACGATGTCTTTGATGGGAAAGGAGAGAGCACTCCCCTGGTGTTTCTCCATGGCCTGTTTGGCAGCAAATCTAACTTCCATTCAATTGCGAAGTCTTTGGTGCAGCGCACAGGCCGAAAGGTAACGCAGCGATGAAGACATCACACCTGTCACCATTCATCCACAACAATTTATCTTTGGCTTCTTCTAGGCAGCAGACACTAGCCCATTTATAAAAGCAGGCATAGCAGAACAGTTCATCATTGTGGTGCTAGCAGTGATTTGATACAACTTCTCAGCAGTCTGTAATGTTGTATTTTATTCTGACTCTCTGTTCCTTGTGGGCTTGAACAAACGTTCACCTCATGCGCACAATACTGCCTTTGTTTAAATGATCTCTCTCCCGGGAAACAAAAAGCAGATAACTCTCATACAAGTTTTTTTTTTCTCTTTAATACGTCCCCCATTCCAAGAGTCCTAACTGTCCTTTGTCTAGTTAGGTGCTGACTGTAGATGCCCGTAACCATGGCAACAGCCCACACAGCCCAGAGCTCACCTATGAGGCGATGGCCGATGACTTGAAACACCTCCTTGCCCAGCTGCGCATCGAGAAATGTGTCCTCATCGGCCACAGCATGGGCGGGAAAACAGCGATGACGACCGCCCTGTCACAGGTCAGCAGCCGACAACTTATCATTGAAAATGTACTTTACTGTCCTCTTGTTGGACATGAAGTCACCTTTCTCACTGCTAACCTTTATCAACTCTGAACTTAATAATCCTCTTCTGCTCTTCTACCAAACCGTGCTGTCCTCTTTCTGTTTGACATTGGTTTGAAATCTCTTTCTCTCTTTTCTTCCACTTCGTAGCCTGGTTTAGTGGAGAGTTTAGTGGTGGTTGACATTAGTCCAGCCCAGACCACCTCACGCACCAACTTCCGCTATTACATCCAGGCCATGCAGGAGGTGAACATCTCCAGTGACATCCCACGTTCCACTGCCAGGCGGATGGCTGAAGATCAGCTCCGCAGTTTGGTCAAGGTCAGTACTTCTTTATGAGTTAAGCTTTTCAATTTATAATACGTTGATGTTAGTGTTTCCACTCTGATATTGATCCTGCAGACACTGATTTTTGTGTGACCTGGCAGCAGTAGCAACAAGTTATTGCCACTCTGACATTTTATCATTTTATAAGGTTGATTAGACACACGTGTTGGTAACTAGTTGCCTATAACACATGCAGGTGTTACGGATCAAAATGATCATACAACTGGAGTTATGGTTTTGATCCACCCGTAAAAAAGCGAGGGCCTGATTCACAAAAGGAAGGTTAAGGGGTTAAAGGGATACTTCACTTGTTGAAACATGAATCTATATTGACATTGGGTCATACATGTAGTAGAAATGTGAAATACATTTTGAGGTTGTGTCTTCTTGACCGAGAAAAAGCAGAAAGTGTCTTTTTGGCTCATGTGGATGTAAGACAACAACTCCCAGAATGCACAGCATTGCTGGCCACTCCGACTGAGGCTTGGGTGATCTATTTACAGACATATTTACTTCAACACATACGGCCATTTCCTCAACTGATTCCGAGATTTCTTCCAGAAGAAATTGGCAGAATTGGAAATTCCTGGCAGAAAACAGACTCTATGTCTGTGTTCACAGGCAAACAGTGAGAGCACCGACACTACTAGTCCGCCCCAGCAACGGGTTCCTCGTCCTCACCACTGCCAACAGGCCGGTCTTATGCGACAGCAGCCGCCTCGCCGTTATATTGCGGCTCGTAGTTCATCCATATCATTTGAGTTGAAACATGTTTTTTTCGCCATTGTCAGTTCTTATCAGCTTTCTCCATAGAGCCTGTTAGCATAGCTTCCAAGCAATATGGCAGACGATGAGTTTCGATTCTGGCAGTGAGGTCCCACCCACTGATCTGTGATTGGTCTGTAGCTTCAGTGGTCAAAAATATGAGGAACTAGTGATGTAGTTTCACCCCCGCTAACCACAGCAGCCGCCGATGAGGCACAATGACGATTTTTGCGTCTTCGGAAGCTCCTTTTCAGACAAGAAATACAAAGATTTCCCTTCTTAGTGGAAAATGAGGGCAGGATGCACGACCATTCAAAAATACTACCAGGTTTCTAATGATACAAAGCTTAATTGAAATGTTACAATTCACTTAGCAGACGCTTTTTGAAATGGGTGAAGTATCCCTTTAAATGCACCCATAACTGCGCTTCAGAGCAAACAGCATCACTGTGCATGGGTGCTGGTTGTACTTAATTAAATTAGCAATTATTTAGTCAAATGCCCCCTTGCTATACAAGTAAACCTCATGGCAAAAGAAAGGGTCCAATTGCACTTGGCATTAAAATAAACCCTGAAAAAGTGTTCCCTCCCCCCTAGCTCATCATTTTTAAGGAGATAAAACAGTTCCATCAGCATCAGAACATAGCTGCAAGCAGAGTAAAGGTGCTGTGCAGATAGCTGGGTCACATCAGTGCCTGCAATCCGTTCTTAGTGAATCAAGCCCTAAGTCTTGAACAACTTCTGAGAAAGTATTTGGCTTTTAAGCTCATAATATTCTCTACCAGCTTGTCACTTACTGTGTCTGCCTACTGCCTGGTAGTTGTCAGGTGGTTTAACATAGCTGCCTAGAAACAGCTAAATATGTAACTTGAGTTTGTTTTTAAACAGGACTAGTCTTAAACTGCTCTTTCCTCCCTTAGGAGCGCTCAGTGCGTCAGTTTCTGCTCACTAACCTGGTAGAGCAGAATGGGCATTATGCCTGGAGGGTCAACTTGGAGGCCATCTCGGCACACCTTGATAACATCATGAGCTTCCCTAGCTTTGACAGCGCCTTTGAAGGACCTACACTGTTTTTAGGTGGAGCAAGCTCTGCTTATATAAGGTAAAAAAAAACACCCGAAACACAGACTGTACATTTCACATATTTTGGATCTTAGCATTGTTTTATTTAACAACCCATACTTTGCCTGGTATTGTCACCCCAATTCTCATTGTTTTCAATCCTGACTCAGCTCTGAAGACTACCCTGAAATCCAGAGGCTCTTCCCCAGGGCTGACATCCAGTACATCCCAGACGCGAGCCACTGGATCCACGCAGATAAACCCTTAGATTTCATCAGCTCCATCATCTCCTTCCTTCAGTCCTAGCTGAGTCTTGCCAAACGTTGCAAAACTTTTTTTCTGTGCTCAGCACCTCTCAGCATCCTCTCACTGAAAATGAAAGGGACAATTAAGCAGCTTCAGCAACAACGAGTGGAGTCATTAATAGCTGCCAACACCGGACCAAACTCGCCCTTTTACAGCAGTCAGTATATCCCTTCAAGTTTGTGTAGCGTTAAGAAGGTGAACTTTTCATTGTTTTGCAGTACCTGCTAGGCAGGTTTTACAATTAGAATGGCTAGTTTCTAGATTTTTTTTTATTATTATAATTGTTTCTGTTTGTAGAAAATAGCACTGGAAATATCTTCAGTAATGGGTGGTTTGCAGGTTACATATGTTACTAATCCAAAGAAACTCTCATTTGCCCAGTGCTTTCTCTAAACATTTATGCTAGCATAATAGAAATAGTAAAATGTGGGGTTGCTGGAGTGGACCAGCAGAAAGTTGGATGTTTAAGTTTTGACAACGCTGGAATGAAATAAGTACTGTATTTCTGAAAATCAATTGCTGGAGAGGAAGGAGGAAGCACAAAACAAAAAACGAGTTCTTGCTAAAGGGAGTTTGGTACAGTGTATTAGGTCCTCTGTATAGAGGCTTTATGTGTACAGATGGTTGGCTTTAGAAACTTACTTCAATGTTGACAAACTTGATTGATTGAATATTTTGGTCTGGAACCTGGCTCCTCACATCCCCTCCTCTGTGTATCTACTGTATTTTAGAGTTGAGGATTTTCAGGTCAGTTACTTTGTCCCAACTCGAGGCCATCAAGAGTGCTGGTTTGTACTTATGTACCAACATAATCATCAATGAAATCCCAGCTTAAACACTCAAATGCAGTATTCGCAATCTGTTCCCTGAATATCTCAGGTTACACTTGGATATGCTAAGTATTATTCGTGTACTATTATCTTGTCTGTCTGGCAACAAGCCGTGGTAATGCTGTCGTGTGTAAATGATCAGTGTTTTGATCAAACCTGTTTTACGATTTATTATCTGTACCTAACGTGTATTTAGAACTAAGGCGCTATATGGGTATGACAAATATATGCTGCAAAACATTTAGTTGTTTACTTATCGTGACTGTGTTAATATCATTTCTGTTCCCATGAGTTTTATAAAGTACAGTCCAGTAGTGAAACTGCCATCTGTATGAATAAGCAGGGTGTTGTGAATTTGATGTGCCTCTTTTGTCGAGAGCTCCTTTTCCATTTCTGTAAAACTTGAAAAAAAAGATTTTACTCCCCAACTTCAACAAGCAGACTGTAGATTGGCAGCTGGGTTGCCAGTTCTGTGTGAGTTTTCTGAAAAGAAAGCCTAACCAATGAGGGTGTATCCCGTCATGGCGCTAGGTAATTACTACAAGCAGTGTTTTATGTTTGCTATTTTTCTTCCGCTCATCCGAGGTCGGGTTTTGTTGGCAACAGGTGAAGTGAGTCAACCCAGACTTCCCTCTCCCTAGCAATGTTTTTGAACTCCTCCTGGGGGATTGCGAGGTGTTCTCAGGCCAGATAGGGGATGTTTGTTCATGTGAATACATAAGTCTTAAAAGCTTTGAATTATGTTAGGTAAAAAATCTCTTTATTTTATTTTTTTTAATATTAGCTCCAGTTGGTGCAGAAGCGCCATCTTAACCTTCTCAACCTCAGGACAGATTTGTCTTGTTTCAAAACATGAATCAGAGGATTATTTACTAATGACGTTTGAATGCAGGCCCGGCTTCAGAGTCTTTAGTGCTGCAGTGGGCAACATATTTAAAAAAACAAATGACAATAATATTGAAAAAGAGAATTTATTCCCATTAAAAGCTTTTTGATGACTGTAATCACCCGTTCAGGATTGTAAAATGTCAATATGAGCATGCCTTCTCTCGTCATCAGATGTAAATCTGCAGTGCTATGTATGTCTCAGCTTGTTGAACACACAATGATGGAACTCATTCTAGATCATGTCGTATATAAATTGTAATGTGTTCAAGATGAATATAAGAGTGGATTATATATTATTGAAAGTGTACAAACTAATATTATACAATAAAAATGCAAAAACCCCACAAGTTGTTTTGTTTTGATCTTGAAAATGCAACAAGCAAAAGTGTGTGCTTCTCACAACTATAACTGATATGAATCAGCAAAACAATCAAAGCAGCTTTTGCATAGATAATTTATTTACAGCAGAAGATAGAAATAATCAAGAAACAAATGTGCAAGAGCTTTCAATTTTTACAGTTTTTAAAACATGACATCCATTATAACTATCCACATATATTCATATGTAAATGATAAAGAAAGAGCTAATCAGTGTTCCTACAACAAGAAAACACCTCTCTACAGACATTAAGCCAAACAAAAATGATCTGTTTGGAATACTATATTTGTTCTCAAGAAAGCTCAACTTACTTTTTTTAAATGCTTAAAATTAAATCTTTTTCTCTGAGACTTTGTGAGTCTTGTTCATACTACAGCTGTACAAAATCATTAGACGCTATATAGCAAAGAATCAGGAGCAGGACCAACAGCTCAACAGCGCCTCTTCTGGCATTCCCATCAATTCAAACCCTCTCCTCCCCTTCCGTTCATGCTTTCCAATATAATCAACGCATAATTGTCAAATGGCATCTAGTTGATGGTGTGGTCCTTGCTAGTGAATGAACATGTATAATAAGTCTGTTCTCTATGTATGCGTTGCAGTTGTAAGGAAATCAAGTGTGTCGGAAGCGCCTTGATACACAATTGGCTTTCAAACTTGTGGTGTAACAACATTAAAGCGTTCACATCTGAAACTCCAACCAAGAAACAATAAGCAATACACGTTTAATCTGAAGAGGGCTTTCAATTGTAAGACAATGGATTTGTGTATCAAAACTAGTGCAATTCCTGTTTAATCGAGTGAAACAACCTCAAAGTCGTCACCTCTGCCATTATCTGAATCCTGCCCGGCTGCATCTTGGTCTCCTTGACGACCACTCTTTCCCCTCAGCCTGTCCCTCCAGCTGCGTTGGGTAGGAGATGTGTTGGGAGTCGAAGCAGCAGATTTGGAGACAAAGATTTGGTTTAGGTTGGTTGTGGGAGGCACGGTGTAACCGTAAGGAAGTTGGAAGGCCTCTGCATGGGCGCTTTGTTATTTCTCCTCAGGATACCCAGGCGGGAAGGCTTCTTCTGGTTCTGCTCCGCCTGCTGCTGAATCAGCAGCTGCTGGTGGATCATATGCTGAACGTCCTCCTGAGTAAAGGGAAAACAAACGGGCTGTCAGAGCACGGCAAAAACTGATCTGACAAATCTGCAAATAGGGATGAGTGACTGGAAACCAGAGTTGAGATAAAAGTTGTGATAAGTTTTTTGGGAGAGCAGAGTGGGAAGAATTTTATTCCCCACTCAAAAAATATATTTCAGCCTTCTATCCTAAAACTTAATTGAATTATTTGGGTTTTTTATGTGCAAATTGGTTTATATAGCAGCTCTTTCCCTCCTCAGAAAGTTTACTGATAAAAATTAAATTCATGAATTTATGGATATTATAATTCTAAATCCCTGGTCCTTTGTCCTTTAAGTGTTGATAATCAGTTTATCTGGACTATAGATTCTGTTTCAATCTGCAGGGAGCCACGCATTCACAAGATGATTATTGAGGTCAAAACACTGCAACAGGACACCAGCTGGCAGTAGTGCCTTGGCCTGGATTGTGCAGAATGTTATCTGTGTGAATTTTAATTGTGTTTAAGTTCTGAGAGTACACGTGAGTACCTAACACTAATCATGTGCGCTGTGATTGACAATGGGCGTGTATGTATACTGCCCTACTTTTCTGTTACGTTCACATTCTCCACCATCTTATTTTGGCTCAACATCACTCCATAATTCTCATTTAATATGTCACATATTTCCTTGTCGAATGATCACACCCTTTCTTTTCTACTTTCTTCACATGTTTGTTTGTCTGGGTATGACATTAAACTCTTCTGAGGTTTACCTTCCAGGCCTCGAGCTCCAGCGACATCTCCAGACGTTTCTGTACGGCCTCCAGCACCTGGTTGTTCAGCAACATCATCTCTGTTTTACTCCTCAGCAGCTCTTCCTCCATGGCCTTCTTCCTGCACAGCAGAACAGACAGGATGACACATTTCTCCCAAATAGACCCATGTCTTTCAGCTTCCTGTTCCTCCCTTGAATCCTGACTCATTGATTATTTATAAAAGGTGATGGTGATTGTGTACTTACTTCTCTATGGCCTCATCTCGGTCCCGCAGAGCCTGCTGCAGAATACCACTGTCCTCTGTATCTTTTCCAGAGTTGGACTTTTAAAAGAACAAGAGGGGGGAAGAAGGTTAATTATTTCCTAAACTCTAGTTATTGTCTGTCTAAAACTTACTGTCTGCACTAGTACCTTTCTTCTAACAAGGACCTTGTCCTCTACTCACTGTCAGACGTACACCCTGTGATATCGTCAATCTGGTATGCAAACAATGCATACCAGATAGACGTACATCACCTGGTTCTGACATCTTTACTCCGTCAGGCCACATAGCTGTGCTTTGACGCCTAGACAAGGTATTGCAGATCTTATCAATGAACAATTGAGAAAATGCGTCATCAAAAGGGCATGTTTACCTCTCGCGTGAGCATTTCTACCTATGCACGGGCCTCAGGGCTTATTCTATTTTAAGGACTTGACAATAAAAATTGATCGCCAACTATATTTAGTCTTTACAACAGATGAAAACTTCTATGAATAGGGCAGATAACTTGTACCAAGCAAAAATTGTCCGACAGAAACCAAGAAAGTTGAAGCTCATGATTTCTAGTGTTTTTCTTTTCAAATGTTCTTTATTTCAAAGCCAACATTTTGTTTTGAAAAACATGCCCAATAAAATCATCTTGGTTTGAGATTGTAGGGATGTTATACGGGTGTGAGCTTTATTTAAGTGAATGCAAGTGTAGCGTTTACCTGTTTGGTGTGGCTGATAGCCAGTTTCCGAGCCACATTCTGCAGCTGGACCAAGGCACTGTCCAGCTGGTTTTCCCCATTGGAGTGTTCGGGCAGGCTGGACTCCTGATGTGTCAGCGGGTGAAGCAGTCTCAGAACAGACATAACCTCCTCTGTGACCTGTGACGGATACCAAAAGGAAGAAATTATAATAATCCTTCATATTCCTACAGCTGTACACTTCTTTCCGATGCTGTGTATGTGTAACCTTTACCCTCTCTCTGTGCTGGCTCCATCCTCGCCCGTCTCTGCTCTCCTGCAGTTTGTCCACCTGAGCCTTCAGCTTAATACTTCGCCTTCGAGACAGCTCCACTTCTCTGCGCACTTCTTTCAGCTGCGTTTGAGAAATATCACATTAAGTACATTTCAACAATGCATGTCACCACTTTTATTTTGCTGCTAGATAATTGCTAATTGCTGCCTGGACACAGAAAGAACAACCCCATGACATTTTAACAGAATGTAAACAGAAACTGCTAATCTGGATTCTTGAGTGAAACTGAAGACAAGAGATCCAGTCCTACAGGATAAGGTGTATTACAACACATCCAAACAAAGAAAATATGTACATGCAGATGCATTCATGAAAACACCCTCACAAACAAATCAGTATAACTGAATAAATACATTTTATGACAGGTATGACAATCTCCTGTAACACTTTTACACTCATATCCACAAATCCAGCCCTGCAATTATCAGGCGTCCTCAGTAAAAAGTGAGGTTTAATGCACTCTGAAGTCTAGCCTAACTTATTATGACCATTTTCATTAGTGTGAGGGTCATTACTTACTTTTTCTGTGAACAGATTTGCCTTTTGTGCATTTTCTAAATGTTTTGTATACACTCTAATGGCAGTTAGGTCCATCTCCTCCCTGTATAACAGGTTTTTTTGGTTGCCAAGCCTCTTTGAGTTACATCTAAACTCATGCAAGACAATAACAACTTCTCTCCCCTTTAAAAAAAACACACAGAACACACACATAAATGTAAAGATAGCCATCCTACCGTGTCTGAGACTGGTCCCAGTGTCCGGCGCCTGCCGATCGGCCTGCCACTCCTGATCAGGTCTGGTAAAGTCCCGTCTAGGTAGCTTCCCTGGAGGGAGCTGCTACCACCCTCACCAGCTACAGACTCTGTGGACTCTCCTGTCCCCTCGGAGATCATCTCACCTGGAATGTCCTTCTCCTCGGACTGTGAGGTGTTGCTGTCACTCTCAAATAGGTCGTCTTCACCCACATCTTGTAAATTTAGTTTAGTGAGGCTTGAGTTGTTGAAGATACTCAGATCTGCACAATCTCCTTCTAGACCACCAGAGACAAAATCTTCCTGATCTGCAGCCTCTTCAGGTTCCCCTGGATCTCTTGGTTCTGCTGTAGTCACAGAGATGTTTGGTTCTGTTGACAGAATTGTTTGTCGGTAGGACGAAGATTGACTCCTGAGCGAGCCCCAATCTCTGTGTCTGTCCTCCATTCTGTTCAGAGAGGAGTAGAGCAGTGGACTGGAGGTGATCCGAGGTCTCAGCTGGTCATTGAGCCTTGAGAAGGATTGTGAAAAGTCCATGATCAGCTTGGAGCAGGTCGCAAGAAGAAGTAGAATCTTCTAAAGCCACTCAGAGGTATTGTCTCGCTACATATAAACATGAAAAAAGTAAGAGGACAGCAGGAAGGAGGAGGCAGCAGCATGAGAATGTCTCCAAACTGGTTTTTCCTGAAACACATGCGTCTTCAAAAAAAAGGACATGACATGATGTGATGTCATTGGAGGCTGTGCCTTCATGTAGCACGTCTGGCTTTTCTTCCTCCTTTGAGGTTGCTAAACAAACACGACTTGCAAACATACCACAGCTGCAGGGAACAAAGGGAGTTTGGCTTTTAATCCTTTAATTCAGTAGGCTAATAATATTCAGGCTTGACGTAGTATGATTTCTAATTCTAACTCCTCATTATGGCTTAACTCAAACATAAAGGCTTGTTATACAGCAAAGAAGTTACGTCTTCATTTTGTTACTTAATGTTTTTTTTCTTTGTTTAATAAAAAGAAAAACTCCTGCAGGGTCACAGCTGCATACACCCGTTTAGTCATTGATTTATTTTTGGAATCTGACTGCTTTGGGGAATACACCACTTTTAGTCATTCCTTGCAGTTTAGGTAAAACTGTAATTTTTTTGGTAACAAATCTCCCACATACACGAGCAGAGAAATAGACAAATAAACTCTCATTTTTTATGACTTAATGCTTTTAGTCTTTTCTAAAAGCAGCTTTAAGTTTCAGACAAATGTGAGTTAAATTCAAAGATGCAGCCAACAAAAAAAATAACAAATTTACACCAACATCACTAGTTAGGTAACAGCCTCTAAAACTATTTTTCTGTTCCCTTTCTTTGAAAATTTCTGAGGGCATCATAATATTCAAATTGTCATGTTTCACTTGGCAGTGGACATTTCATGCATTCTTATATCACACATTTGGACTCGGTCTCAGCAGTGAAACTGTTAATTGTTACCCTTTTATTTATTGTCATCTCCAGCAACTTTAATTAAATTCTAAATTGGTCTAAGCTCATTACAGTTATATAAAACCTGATCCGTGCCAGCGTCTATAATTCAGGTGCGGTTATAATATCACTGTGAAGTTATGGCAACCACCAAAGCTCACGTAACCTCCAATGTAGACTTCTCAGAACCGCTGGCAACAAAGTAGAGATCTGGCAGGGGAACAACTTAAGAGACCTTCTTGATGGCATCAGTGGAACATATAGGCAGGAATATCCGGTTAAGAGAAGCAAGGGCTTTTCTCAAATTAAAATATTAAAAACTGAAATGGCAATTTTACATGAAAACTAATTTGTTATATAACAACCAATAAAAACTCTGTAGAGGAGGATTCACTTGAGTTATGAAAATAATCACTATGCAAACAATCTTCAACTCTTTCTTACAGTTCCACACACCACTATACCTCTGCCTTAGACCTTGTTACCATGTATGTGTCTGGATATAGATATAAACTAAATCTGTCTAAGAGTGTTTTATTCCCCATTCATGAAAAGAACGCCAAATGTCACTCCAGAATTGCTTTCACTGTTAATAAGGAAAATTTTACTTCGTGTGTGTGTGTGTGTGTGTGTGTGTTTGTCCTTTTCCTACATCTTTTATGGACCCATCTTGGTAAAAGACAGGGATTAGGTGTGTGAAGGACCTTTTTAGAGGAGGGCATTTCATCTCCTTTGAACAGCTAAGAAGGATTGTAATATTCCACAGTCGAGTTTCTTTAATTATTTCCAGATATGTAGTTACATCAAAACTTAATTCTCTCTTACAACCCCAGGACTGCATCCCCAGCACTCAGTCACTTGGGAGGAGTTAGGAATCAATATACCACGCATTACTTTAATATGTACTGGACATGGTCTGTTGCAATTTAGAGTACTGCATAGGTTACATCTATCTGCTGGTAAGTTAGCCAAATTCTACCCCGGTTTACATCCAACCTGCATTAGGTGCAACCAGGACCCAACTATTTTCATACAGTATATAAGTTTAATATGGTCATTGACCCTAACCTATTGACTGCATTGATGGGTGTAGTCCCGCCGGATAAACACTAACATCTTCGCCGAGGCCATAGCTTTCCCTTCCTTGCTTGCTAGACATCTGATACTCCTTTTTCCCAAGCACTGGGTGTAGGAGGTAAGGTGCCACCTTAAGCTGAAAACATCTCAAATATGTGACCTGAGGCTCCACCGAGAAGTTTGTGTCTATTTTAACAACTGGGATTCCTTCCTTGCATGCACTTTGAAATACCTTTTTTTAACGGTGGATAAGAAATTATTTGCCATGCTTGTTTGATGTACAACACTGATACCAAAACTCATGTCTGCACTCTTAATCTAAAGTAGAAGCCGGCAGCTGGTTAGTCTGGCTTTGCATATAGACTCAAAAAAGGGTATGTGTGCCTGGCTTTGATCAAAGGGAACACAATCTGCTTGACTCCTCAAGGCCAATCGTGGGTTTATCTTGGACTTTTGATTCACACAACAACCAAAGTATAAAAAAAAACAACAACAGATGTTTTATGAGACTTGATGTGCTGGATTTTCCACAATAGTTTTTACTTTCTCCTTAGGTCCAAAAAGTAATCCAGTACAAAACAACAAAATAATATGTTTTCATTTTATTTTTAATAAAAATAAGCTATTATTAAAAAAAAGATTTAGTCAAATATTACTTTTGTGGGTTTTCAATGGCATGAACCTGTGCATTTTAAAGTACTTATTGGTCCGGATAATCCCTTTATATCAATGTGTAATACCACTTTTCAGATCTTATGATCAATCTTAAAGGGTTTATAAAGCATACGCTTCAGATATGAACTGCTGTTCGGAGTAAATAATGGGGATGAGCAGATGTAATGATACCAAATACATTTGAACCCTATGTCAAAATGTCCAATATCTAAAAAGTAAAAGAATTGTCCCCTAACAGTTTGTTACAGCAAAACTGCCAGCACTGATTTTGCCTTGTGTAAAAACTTGGCTCAGAAAAAATAAAACCCATTTCCTCCTAAGCGTAATACCTTTTGAATTCTTTCCAGTCATCGAGTAAGAAGTGACAAAAAAGGGTGGCTTTATACAGTAACTTCTTACTTATCAAGAACTAATTTTGACCAAAACTTCTCATGTGTCATGAGCACAGCTCACATACCTCCTCAGTCTGCCAATGAGAAAGTAAACACAAAGACAAAGACAGGATTAAAGGAGGTCGTGACTAAACCAGAGCACCAATTTACTCTCCAGTCACATAAAAACACTGAACAAAAGACAGATCCCGCAGAGAAGAAGGAAGAATACCAATGCTGACAACTCCAGAGTGTCCTATTTCTTCCGTTTCATAAAACAATGAGACATCTCAGCAAGCGTCTTTAAACATGTCCGTAATATCACCAGAATGAGACTCGCATAGTTTCAGGGTGTGTTTGGCAAGATTCTGGAAAAACAGCAATAATGAACCTGTAATTTATCTCTTAAATGATTTCTTTAATGCTGTCAGTTTAAGCAAGTGTATCTTTATTTTTTAAATTGAAATCAATAAAAACTAATTGTTCACTCTCCACAGGAGATATACAGTTTGTTTGACCACGTTGCACTTGTTAGACATTATTCTTTCATTGCTCCCTTTTTGTCTTCTTCTTTGTCCTCCTTCGAGTCATCAGAACCATTGTTAACTCATGAATAACCGTAAGGTCAAAGTTAACTTCCTGTTGTCTAAAGTTCTGTTTTGTCTTTCTTCGTCCCTCCTTTCTGTCCATCATCGGCAGCACACCTGAAGCCCAGGTTATCAGAGGCAGAGTCCGGAGTGTTGCCCATCCTGACAAAGAACCAATAGTATCAGTCAGTGACGCCTGAGGGAAATTATTACTGTTTTGGCTCACAGTCCGTCTATAGAGTGATTTACCTGGTTGTGATTCGTGCCTTGTGATTGGCTGAACCATCCACCGTGTCGATCCATGAGGCACCGCGCAGCACATACATTGGCTGTGCAGAGCGAAAGGGTGTGGATGTCCATTCCCATGTGTTTCCCATCATGTCATAAAGTCCTGCAAGAACATTCAACATTAATAATGTCGAGCACACATTTTTACTTTAGACCTTATACAGATAACCTCAGACTCTCTGCGGTTTTAATCTCTGTACATCTTTTTCAGTCCATTGCATTCAACTTAAAATGAATGTGTGTAAAATCAATAAATGTGTTTTGTTGGATGGTGTCTTTTTTTGTTTTAAGGGACAATTACCATAACTGTTCTGAGGAGGGAATGCTGACACAGGAGAGATGCCATGGTAACCATCCTCAGCAGTGTCTTTTTCTGGAAAGGCCCCCTTTAACATAAACAGAATTACGACTAAGCAGGTTTGTCTAACACTAATGTGATGAGCAACACATTCATGTTTTATTGCATCAGTAGTAGAAAAGTAAAAAAAAACACATAAAAACCCTCAGATGTGTGGGTCCTTTCTAAACATACTGTAGGTTTTGCACCCACATATGTTTGGCCTAATAAAGTCATGTCATTATTTGCAGAAAAAAATAAATCTTAAAAAATAACATTTAAGTATTAAATCATTGACCTTGTACGGAGAACAGACCATATTAATGAGAAAGCTAATTTAATGCTATTAATGCTAATGTATTAGTCTATAGTAGCAGACTAACCTGCCAAAGGTTGGATCTGTTGGCCTGGAACTTGTTTCCCCATGGATAAGTCCGACCTGGAACACAGAGGCAGGAAACATAAAAGGACATCCAACAACATAATATTATATAAATTATCAAGCAGGAAGGGTATGTAATTGACCCCCCCCCCCCTTTCTTCTGTATAAAATGCAAGACCACACATTTAAATCACAGGTTTAACTCTGTTTAAAAGATGATATTAAGCGTTGGTGCACACATTAATACAAATGGACAGCATGGCTCAAACTCATACCATTAGTCAAGATGAAACCAGAATTGCTCTGTGATGAGTGCTGATATATCGGGAAATTTTGATACCCGAGTGCTCAGTGGGAATCGGCTGGAGGAGCAGCTCTATCGACGTCATGCCACTAACGAAACACACGTTCAACTTTTAAAAAAAGCAAAGATCCCTCAGCTCCGTACAGTCCACAGCAGAACAAAAGATTGGGTCAGTTTGAAGCAGACCATCACAGTTATGGGAGTTAAATAACTCTTGTGTTAGTGTTCATTATGTGTCCTCTCGCTGTTTCCGCTGTACTCCGCTATTCCAGTGCGCACAGTGCCGCAGGAAGAACATTCATCAGAAAAACTGTCAATCATGGCAATCTATACCTTTCTATAGCAACAAATAACTAATTAAAAAGAAACTGGTCAGAATAAAGATTTCTTGAACACAAATCAGTGTTATAATAATTATCATGATGAACCTGGGTTTGAAAAAAATGTTTTTGATGTGCATTTTGATTTTACAGTTGGACTCATGTCCCATCTGTTAACATGAAGGAGGCGAGGTTAATGACCTATACTGCAGAGAGTCAGCAGGGGGAGCTCTAAATCTTTAAGCTTCACTTGAGGCAGGATATCCCACTGTCCATTGTTTATGCAATCTATGGTGCAGATAAATTGTCAAAAGATTATTAAGCCCTCTTATGGAGCATCATAAAGAAGAAAGAAAAAATATATTTTATGCTTTTAAGGTATACATTGTGTACCTTGCAGCCCACCTCGTGCAGCCCACTCCCACTCCTCCTCAGTGGGCAGTCTCTTTCCCCTCCACTGGCAGAAAGCCTTAGCATCAGTCCAGCTCACCTGAACCACAGGGAAGTCCAGGCGCTCCCGAATGCCTGAACCTGGTCCTGCAGGCTGTACAGCAGTGGGTTAAACAAGAAATACGCGGGCAAAGAAGAAATGTATGGAAAGAACAAGAACAACGACAAAGATAGGTGAAGGTAAAACTGGTGACTTCACCTGTCTCCATGACACCCGTTCTATAGGCAACCACCAAGGAGCTGTCTGGAGTGGAAACATGACAAAGAGTCAAAGTTGTTCACAGGACAGCCTGAGAAGAAAAAGTCTAGACCGTCTGTTGATTCTTTACATTCAATTCACATTTCCAATAATTAACCAATTGAAGTAAAACTCTTGTTGCAACTTGAATTCATGCACATAACTTTTAAAGAGTTAATTCGCCCATTTATTAGAATCATAATACATTTAAAGCAACCAAAGTAAAAAATACTTATCATGACCCAATTCAGAATTATGTATATTATGGCTTTGCATCTGCTTAAGGTGAGACTTTTAATTACTTGAAACACTGCTGGGTATCGTGATCTAAAATAATGTAAACAATAATGTATTATTTGATTAAAAAAACTACTTTAGATCCCTTTGTACAACACAGACCAGCTGCTAAACTTCCTGCTTCAGAATCTATCAATGAACAACTATGCTGAAGGTGTGAAAGCTTTTTCTTTATTTTATTTTTTTTTTACTTGTAACATATTAACACCTTTCATTTCTTAAAATCCTGAATTAGACTTCATGGAAACTGATGTTATACATGCAACATCCACGAGTTGTGCAGATTAATGTATTACTGTGTTAAACATGAAAATCCCAGTACCTCAATCTTCTGTGTCACTTTGCTCTTCAGGTCATCCGACACAAAGTCTTCAAATACAAAACTCCACCAAACGTCTCAGCTTCTGTTTTGTATTTCTGCGCTCTCACAAACTCTCTGTCGTGAATGAGAGCCACGCAGCTTTATAAAACAGTACTTTGTTTGAGGGGTTACAGAATATAACAACATTAAGGTGTGTGTACCTGAAATCTGCATTAGTAACAGGGTACGTGTCTATTGTAAAGTCCTGAAGTTCAACCTCCCTGCTGGGAGACTCTCCATCTCTCCCATCAGCTGCACTGCTTCCCATTATCATCTTCCCTCCCGGGATATTCACCATCTCATCTGCAGAGCCTTTTAGTCAAGAGACAGAACTCGGTTACCTAGAATAAATACGGTTTTCATTTTGTGCAGTGAAAAAAAGCTTTTTAGTTTTGTTCTTACCCGCCAGCGTCAGTAAACACGTGGCACATATCCAGGACACCAGTTTCATAGTCTTCATTTTTTTAGATTCTCTTTATAGCGTAAGTAACAAATAGTCAAAGTTGTCTCCTAACACACTATTTCACACTTTAATTATTGGTGACACATTCGCATATCGGAGTCATTTCACCGTTGCAAAGGGTATTGGTTCAACCGTAAACTGCTTCCGCATTATTTAAGAGGTTCCGCTTTCCCGAAAACTTTTTTTACGCGTTTAGTTTCTCTAATTTTTATATATATTTACAGTCTGTGGTTTCTACATAAAGATATATATTTTTCACTTGTATTAAGTTACATTTCATGTAGCCTATGTAATGCAATGTTAAAATATATCTTAAAACTGTTAAAAAAAAAAAACCCAATTGTTTTAGTCGATCACCATAATCTTTGCCAATCAAAGATTTAAACAACGAAAATTAATTCAGAAAAGTGTGAAACTAGTCAATTATTTTTGTTGAGATGTTAAAAATAGGAAATGTGTGCAAGCTTTAATGTGCCACCAGAATAAAACACAGCTGGAGAAACGCCTGCTCGGAAGTTTGTTAAGCGTCAAGGCAGGTTGTTGACCAAGATTAAAAACCTAAAACTTTTACTTTTAATTCCTCCTTTCTCAATTATAGCCAACGTTTACAACATTGACTTATACTAAATGAACTCTAGTTTTATTTTGGCAGCTTGAAAAACTCACTTTGAACAATAAAATCCCTTCAACAGTTTTTTTTACTTGTAATGAAGCAGTCAAGAAAACGATGCAATCATGAATCTGAAGTTTGAGTATAGAATAAACTAAATGATAAAAATAACTGGTAAGAACAGTCTTGTTCTTTAGTGGAAGTATGTCAAAAGGTTGTATCACATACATTGAATAATTATCCACACATCCAACTCTAAAAGGTATTTCTAGTTGCAGCTGGAGCAGTTCACTGCTTTATTTACTGTTGATGTTTCATCTGCAACAGTACATTTAATAAGCCTTTGTATTTGCTCCAAAAAACCTAATTTCAGCATTGAATTTAAGCATTATTTAAGTGGTGTACAAGGAGATTAAATGTTAATAAGAAATTCTTGTCCTTTTGGGCCTGGCCCAAAATGTCTGCAACAATAAAAAAAGTGGAAATACAAGATTTTGGTGCATCCTGAAATACTTTCGATACAAGAGTCATGTATCAAAGTAACATTAAATAACTGGTTGGGTTAAGTAGTTGGAAAAAAAAGCTTTCAGACATGGAGCAAATTAGTCGTGTTATGTTACAATTAGAATAATGTTTGGGTCATCAACCTTGATCCTCTCGACAGAGTCAATAAGACTTCTTAAGCATCCACTTCACAAACAAAACACAAAATCTTTCAAGAGCTGAAAAACCTTTAATGGCTAGAAACAAAACTGAGTGGCTGAGGTCAGTGCTTTTTTTTAACAAAATCTCATAAATAAACCAATCAGAGGGAGACATTGACAAATCCATGGAAAAAGAACATGACTAGCAAAACAATGGTTCCTGACAGATGCTGTGATGGATGCTGTGGCGTCTATGGCAGACTGTCCATCAGACTGGGGTGCTTCAAAGTTCCAAGAGGGGCAACAAGTTTAATCAACTGTCACTATCCCTGTATGTATGATAACAACTGCAGCTTCTTCAGTACACATTTAACCTCTTAGAGAAGACATTCCAGCTCGCATGATCTCATCCACCAACAAGATGTTGCTGGCAATCACTGTGCTGTAAAGGAATAACATTAGAGGTCAGAGAGGACGATGCTTCAGGATCATTTCAAATATTTGGAGGCATGTTGTACAGTTCAGAAATGCATTCTCACCATGAATGGAGAAGCTGCTTCTTGACATTGTAATTATCCCATACACCTGCTTCTCCTGCCACCATGGGTTCCCCTAAAAAACAGAAGGATTTAAGAGTTTATGTGTGTGACAGAAACTTAGTACAAACCAAATAGGCTCATGTAAGCAAAAAGGATTATGACATGACTCAAACATGTTTTGCTTTAAGACTTATTTAGACTTGTTGGAAAGGAGGGTAAGATGTGATCTTTAAGGTTTAGAAATTTGAGCACTCTTAATTTCAATGACTTAATAATAGTAATACTTTGCTAAATGTTTGACAGTGTGCTGTGGTTCTGACCTGTGCTCAGATCCACTCCAACAAGCTGACCGGACTCTTTGTACTCTGTCTGCAGCTTCAGCAGGGTGTCCTGGGGGTCATAGCCAGAGTTCTGGGCCAAAACCTATAAAGGAAGGGTGCAAATTAAAATCAGAAGTAGTAAATCACTAAAAAAAGAAGAAAACAGTAAAAACAGATTTCATGATAAAAGTTGGTGTTATATGTAGCTCAACTCAGAAAAAGATGAATACTACAAACATCGCTATTAATGTCGCTCACCTTGGGGATGACTAGGAGAGCATCTGCAAATGCCTGCACGCCCAGCTGGGCTCTGCCTTTCACATTTGGCTTGTGTTTTATGAGAGCGTCTGCAACAGCCACCTCAAATGCACCCGCGCCTGACACGACAGAACCTGAAGACACAGGGATTTAATGGAGATACTTTAAAAATACTTTTTTTTTTTTTTAAACAATGTATCCATTAAAAACAATGTAAAAATAACTTTGGGAAGTTTGTTCTGATCATCTGAATACATGTAGAAGAGACTAAACTTCTTCTAATGCAGAGGAAAAAGACCAGAGTCACTGTAGCACAGACGTTAGAGACCAGAGAGAGCCATGGTAGCATCCCTGGGTGTTCGCTGTGCAAATAACACTCTTTTTTTTTTTTTTACAAAGCTACAGATAAAGCCAAAGCATTTTACTGTTAGGAACCTGACAGTTCTTTACTAAACTGAACCAAGTTACAGATGAAACAAGTCAAAACTGAATGCTTGATGAAAATGTCAAGCTCTATTAAACACAATCTAAGACTGCAGCAGGTACATCAATTAGGTAAACTATCTTAATAGTATCAAGATGATTGGAACCCTGAAGTTGAGTTTAGGAACTGCAAACAAAATGTTTTGAACTTCACATAGTTGTGAAAAATAAATGTAACTGGGCAGAATTACTTTGCTGCAATTTTTATGAAATTTAAATTCAACTCATAGAACAAAGTTAGTTGACAAGTTAGTTTTTTTTTGTCTTACCATCTTCAATGGCATTCTTGACCGCCCGCAAACCATCCCTTACAGCATCTTTGATCTGTGTGAGGGTGTGTTTGTTGGGTCCCTTCACCAGCAGGGTGACTGAGCGGGGGTTTCCACACTTCTCGATAAATGTGTACTTCTCTTCTCCCTGTAAACAGATTCACAGACAATGTAACTCTGCCTGTACATTTTAAACATGTTCATGTTGAGATTCAGGTTATTTACAGAAATTAAGTGCTGGGATGTTCTCTCACACACAATATTTTAACAACACACCCAGTAAATACTAGATTGATAAATCCACTCACCAGTGTGTGCTCATAAACCAGTCCAGCATTTCCCAAGCACTCAGGTGTGAGGTCATCAACTGAATTCATCGCAATGCCACCGCAGGCAAGGGTGAGCCTGACAAAAGAAAAACACACTGCATGTTTAATTCAGTTTTCTTTATGTTACTAAAAACATCTTGATATCATGCAAGTGGGAAGCAAAGCCCAAAAATACTACAACATCTCTGTACAGGAAATGTTGTGACCATGTGTTGCTGGCCTGATGTTTTGAAGCGTGCTAAAGCACTTAGGTCCCATGAGGCTGCTGCAGCTCTGCCTTTTCTACAGAGGACTCGATGTTTGGTACTTTATCAGGAACACAAGGTGAGCCCCAGTAAAGTGTGGTCTTGTGAGTCACATGAAATATTCTCTCTGTGTTGCATCCCAACTTTCATCAAGTCAACTAGCTAATGTTAGAGTGTAGAGTAGTAGAGACGCAGTGGCTGCTCTGCGGCTGACACGCACACCAGAGCTCCGTATTTGTTTGACACGTGATTCTTTAATGTGTTTTTATGTGCTGTCCTGTATACGTTTGTTTGTGTTGCGTTTTTATGCTCTCTTTGCCAGGCAAATTCCCCTCGGGGCAATAAAGTTTCATTAGAACAAACGCAGTTGCTCGAGAAAGACCAGCTTTAAAGACAAAATGGAAGAGAAGATTTAAAAAAAAACACACTGCTTAAGGAAGAAAAAGTATTTTTGTTCTGATCATCTGAATACATGTAGAAGAGACTAAGCTTCTTCTAATGCAGAGGAAAAAGACCAGAGTCACTGTAGCACAGACGTTAGAGACCAGAGAGAGCCATGGTAGCATCCCTGGGTGTTCGCTGTGCAAATTACCTAAACTGCATTCTGGGAAAGAATTTTATTAGTTCAAGAGGAACGAGTTTGTGGAATAATTACGGTGAAGGGGACCCATAGACTCTTAACACAAACGGTTCATTCATAGATCATTCAGACACACTGGTCTGTTAGGCATCTGCGGCTACTCTTCTTCAGATTGATAGGCTCCTTTTAAGGCAATGCTTATTATGATTGATAATAATGTGGGCATGATTTCATGAGATAGATAGGCAGAGGTCACGTTAACTGACTATTTTCCATTTTGGACAAAAAACATGTTTTACCGAGAATAGGCTTTCTTTAATTTTGACTGACCAGAATACTGAAGGATTTCCAGTCTGACATACTCACACAGACAGATGGGCACACCTTTTCCAGTTTGCGGAAGTGATTTTTGTTGTTTTTATTCGCCTCGGAGCATGTAGGCGTATCCATTAGACATCGTAAACCTGTCTCGATATCCAGATTTGTTTAGGAGCTATGGACTCAAGAGCTTTTAAGCATGTCTGTGACCACTACTACACCTTATGGACCTCTTTAATTTCCATTCAACCGTTTTTAATTCATATTATTAGATTAAATTTAGATTTGTATATTCTTAACTTTCATAAGATTATTCATACTTAAACCTTTAGTCTTACTGAAATTTGAACCACTTTAAAAAAAAAAATGCAATTTAAAACAACTACTTGTCATAAAAAAAGAAAAATACATTTTCAACTGGACAGAAAAGGCCCCTAATATCTGTTAAAGGGAACACCATATGTTACTTTTTTTACCTCTCCATGTTCCTCCTCTTTGCCCTACGCAGGGCCACTATTCCTTCCTTGGCGAGGACATCCAGGGAGAATGGGTCAATACCCTACACAATTCAGAAAAAAACAACATGAAACAGTGAATCATTAAAATCAAATTAAGAATAATTCCCCGTCACCTTCAGTTGTTAAAACATTATGTTAGAAGATGACGGGGGTAATATTTTGACAAAAGTATCTTATACTATGAAGCTTTACTCTATAGTTGACAATTTTTATCCTTTTTTTGGATTCTGAGGTACTTAAGAGCCATTTCATTAGCCAAAGCATACCTTCTGGTTAATGACGACAAAACCCTTCTCGCCATTGGGACAGACTTTGTTCTTGAAGGCAATGATCTTCTGCACGCGATCCTCGATGAACTTCCTTTCTGCAGCCACGAGTTTCTCCCTCTCCCCAGCACTCTTGTAGAAGAAGCCAGAGTTGACTTCAGTCTTTTCGTACTCCAGTGAGACGTTGCAGGTCAGCACGTAGGCATCCTCCACTCTCTTCTTCATGTCTGGGTGACGAGCACCGTGGTCCAACACCAAACCTCTGATCAGTCTAACAAAGAAAAATGAAAAAGCAGTAACCCTAGTTAGTCTGCAATTCCTATACATCCATGCACCACTGCTGGTGTAGGCATTAATGGCTTCTTATTCCGTTAGCTACTTTTTGAAAGACTCACTGTGTATCGCAGTCTGTCTTGTGCTTCATCTCCATGATTTCCACCATGTACAGGTCAATGGGCTCATTGGGTTTAGCAATGGCAAGCACAGCATCAACCACAGCCTGGGGGTAAACACATCACACAACCATTGACTAAATGACGACAGAAAATCAATTATGTGCTTACTCTTGAGATAAAAAAAAAAAAACATTCTAAACTCCTAGCTATCTGTATCCAGCACCATCTGTCAGCTTACATCCATACAAGAATGCATCATTATGAAGTCTTCACAGAAGTTTAAACAGCAGTTTAAATACTCTGTCACTTGGATTAAGCAGTGTTGATACTGTGACACTTTGATTATTCACTTATCAGATTTGACATTAGTCAGTTTTCTGACTAACTAAGAAGAGGCTATAATTAAGGCTAATAGTAGCTTATGAGTGAAGTTTTTTTCACCCTTTATACACCAAAGAACTGATGATCAAGTCTACTGAAAGTGGAGATGACAAAGAATCATTCTATGGTCAAATGCTGACCCTAAACACATCATTCACTGAGCTCTGCTCCCGCCTGTCTCACCTCTGTCAGCAGATCTGCCAGTTCTGTGTGGACCTTGGTCCTGAGGGAGGTTCGTGCTACGTTGATGAGGGTCTCTCTGTCCATTTCACGAGTCACCTTCAACTCCTCCAGCGCAGCCAGTGCTTTCTCTTTCGCTGCCTCAAAGCCTTCAGCAATGATTCTTGGGTGAAGACCCTGCGGCACAGAATAAAGGGGATGTGTGTAAGGTGACTTCACCGAGGGCTGAATACTGGATATTTGCACATTTTAAATGAGTCTAACATCCCAAATTAGGTGTCAAAAAAATAACCGATGGTCAGAAAACCATTTACCAAAAAAAAATCCAACCCTCTCTCACCTCTGACACATAAAGGTCAGCCTGCTTCAGCAGTTCACCGATGATGAGGACATTGGAGGTGGTCCCGTCTCCTGTGATGTCATCCTGCGCCGTGGCAACCTTGGCGATGAGTGAGGCTGTCGGGTGCTGAATTTGCTATAAAAAATATATATAAAAAGAGATTTAGTGCATCACAAAATACAAATACTCTCCTTTGTTACACTGTAATTTGATGTGTACGACTGATTGCTGCACCTGACATTAAAAAAAAGTCAATGGAGAGCTAACATCCAAGTTAACTGTGCTCATAATGCAAGACACAAATACATCACACTGAATCTTCAACGCACAACAGAATAAAGAAGCATACAGGGCAGTGATGTCAGTAACAGAAGAAGACAAGGTAAGAGGACAAGTACATTAAAAAAAAAGTCCCAAACACAGCACTTCCTTACCATCTCATGTAACAAGACGTTTCCATCTTTGGTCAGCTTGATGTCTCCTGCACCAGACACCAGCCTGCGGATCCAAACAGGCACAACATGATGAGTGTGTTAAGAAGGCTGCAGGTGTATGTGGTGCTGTACAAGTATCCAATCAGCCACATCCTTAGAAAATAATGTATATGCTTACTGAATGCAAAATTATATAAAGAAGCAATCTATTTCATTCAACATTTCATTAATAACCCTTCTTGTCACTACATGATGGGGGATTAGTCCTTTATACTTTGAGTTTTAAGTTGAGTCCTAACCATAGACTGTTTGCCTAATCTGCTAGCTTTAGCTTGATGTTGTCAAAACGGATCGTGACGATGACTGGGCAGGACAACGTGCGCCCGGAATATAAGTGTTAGCAGCAAATGGAGGCCCAAATGTGATTAATTACCTCGAAAGGGCGTTGATACAAATGACACAGTTGTTGTTTTTTTCTTCAAATTTAACACACTTATGCACGTTTAAAGTGGGGACTGTGCTCACAGTCTTCACGTGAATTGCAGCTAACGCTAGCGTGTAGGCTAGGTTAGCTTAGCACGCGTGCCGCACAAAGAGGGGGTTCCGGCTGAACTCACATTTTCATGGTCCCC